CCTTCACTTTCCTTCACTTTCCTTCACTTTCCTTCACTTTCCTTCACTTTCCTTCACTTTCCTTCACTTTCCTTCACTTTCCTTCACTTTCCTTCGGTAAAGAAACCACTAGCAGGTACCGTGGTTATTTCTGGGGAGCCGGTGCCCCCGGAGGCCGGGGTTGCTCTGAGGTTGCTCTAGATGGGCCTCGCTGGAGGCGCCGGCTGCCTGCGCAACCCTTTGCACCCCTGTTGTGCAGATACATCAACCACTCGTGTGCGCCCAACTGCGTGGCCGAGGTGGTGACCTTCGAGAGAGGCCACAAGATCATCATCAGCTCCAGCAGGAGGATCCAGAAGGGGGAGGAGGTAGGAGACTCTCTGATTTGTTCCTTGACTAAGACACGTCCTGCTGCTCAGGTTCAGCTCGAGACCCTCGCGCTGTTACTAGAGCCACTAGTCTCAGAGAGCTGATACGGTTGGAAGGTGAAGGGAATGGAGCAGCTCTTGTATTAGGAAAGACTGAGTGAGCTGGGCCTGGTTAGCTTGGAGAAGAGAGGATTGAGAGGGATCTGATTAGTATGTATAAATACCTGAAGGGTGGATGTTGGGTGGAAGGGAGGAAGGGGCCAAGCTCTTCTCCATTGTGGCCAGTGACAGGACAAGGAGTGATGGGTGCAAGTTGAAACACAGGAGGTTCCATCTCCATGTGAGGAAGAACTTCTTCCCTGTGAGGGTGCCAGAGCCCTGGCACAGGCTGCCCAGGGAGGCTGTGGAGTCTCCTTCTCTGGAGGTCTCCAAACCCGCCTGGATGCCGCCCTGTGCCCTGTGCTCTGGGTGTCCCTGCTGGAGCAGGGGGTTGGACTGGATGATCTCGAGAGGTCCCTTCCAGCCCCAACCGTTCTGTGATTCTGTGAATGTCTGTGAGCACCGGGAGGGCGAGGGACGAGGTGGGAGGCGCCCGCGCTCCCCTCACGCTCCCGCCGCCGCCCTCGCAGCTCTGCTACGACTACAAGTTTGATTTCGAGGACGACCAGCACAAGATTCCCTGTCACTGTGGAGCTGTCAACTGCCGCAAGTGGATGAACTAGAGCTGCATTCCTTGCTGTCCCGGAGGGCTGCTTGTCCCCAGGAAGAAGTGATTCACGGTTTTGATTTCATCGACAGAGAATTGTTGCCTTTTTGAAGGGGGAAAAAAAAGTCACTTCTGGAAGTATTTTAATACTCAAGTATTAAAAACAAAACAAAAAAAAAAACTAAAACCAAGCACCAGAAGCAGCCGGCAAAATCTGGAGCTGTCTCAACCTTCCAGCCACGTGGAGGCTGAACGGAGCCGCCAGGATGGTCCAGCACTTTTGTTTTGGAGCTCACGGAGGAGAAACTGTCTCGCTTGGGCAGAGCAGCGACGTCTGCCGTGCGCCGCGCGGGCCGCGCACATGAATGTAAGACTGAAATCACCAGCGAAAGGGAGAAGTCCAAAGTGCTGGCCACAGCCTTAGTTGATAAAGGGGCAGGCCCTCTAATTAAAGAAAAGTTTTAAATAAAAGTAGACACCACTGAACAAGGAATGTACTGAAACGACTTCCTTAGGGATAGAGCTAAGGGAAAAAAAATAACTTGCACTAAAATACATTTAAATACTTGATTCCATGAGTCAGTTTATTGTAGTTTTTGATTTCTGTAAAATAAGAGAACCTTTTTGTATTTATTATTGAATAAGTGAATGAAGCTATTTTTAAAAAGAAAGTTAGAAGAGAGCCAAGCTGCTGCTGTTACCTGCAGAACTAACAAACTCTGTTACTTTGTACAAAAGTGTAAATATTTTGAAAAAAAAATACAGTATAAAAATAGTTATTGACCAAATGCTACCAGACTCTGCAGCAGTTCGGGTGCTTATAATAAAAATGTCAATAGGGATGTTACAATATGATCTCATGTACTAACGGACATGCGATTACGATTACGGAATAACCAAAATCTCAATTTAAAGAGAGGGTTTTTTTACGTTTAAAGCAGTCTCAGCTGTGGTCTATTAGATTTTTTTTTTTAATTAATTAAACCTTAAGCCTGGTACAAGGCCTGTATATTATTACACCTCTGACTTTTGTAGATGTTTGGGTAATTTAGATGGATTAATTTTATTTGTATTATATTGTTGCATCCCTATTTCTTAAGTCAGGTTTTTTGTGCTTACAATTTGTGATAACTGTGAATAACTGCTAAAACCCACCCAAAATAGAGGCTGAACGTTGGGGTTTTTTTCTTCAGCAAAAGTAGTCAGGATTAGGTGACGGTTCAGCCTACAGTAAATCATGTAAACAGCATAGAATCATGTAGATGGAGCTTAAGTCTGATATGGTAATAGCCTTCTTAAAAGGAAAACGAGGAAAAAAAATTAGATGTAACGTGCTTGCAGCTGCAGGACTCTGGCAATAGGGTTTTGGAAAATGTAATTTAAAGATGTGTTTGTATGGATTGTTTTGTTTACATTTCTTTAAAAAAAAAATAAAACACTGTTTTGTGTTTGCTTGTAGAAACTTAATCAGCATTTTGAACCAGGTTAGCTTTTTATTTTGTACTTAAAATTCTGGTACTGACACTTCACAGGCTAAATATAAAAAAAAAAAATGAAGTTTTTTTTTGTGTGCACAATTAAAGTGGACTGTAAACTGTTGGTATATTCAGTAATACAGTTCTGAACTTGTAATGTATATGGCATGATGTATTTTTATCTTACAGAATAAATCAATTGTATATATTTTTCTCTTGATAAATAGCTGTATGAAATTGTTTCTTGAATATTTTTCTTCTCTTGTACAATATTCCAACATCCTACCAGTATTTGTCCTACAGTTTTTTTTCCTGTTCTGTATAATAGTATCTAATGTTGGCAAAAAAAATACAAAAACAACACAAAAAAAGAATTTTTTGAAGTATACAGAGTGTTATGGGTTTTGGAATTTGTGGAAACAGATTTAGAAGATCAGCATTTACAAATAAAAATATTTTACAGCTATAGCCCTGGTCTTGCTGCTTTGTGGGGTGTCCGAGGACAGTGATGCCCGCACGGCCGCCTCTTGGGCTCCGGAGGCTCCGGATCCGGCGGCTGCTTCGCGGCGCCCAGGGCAGCTCCCGGCCCCTCCGCGGGGCAGAACCTGCCCCTGACACCGACCCGGGGCAGAACCGGTTCTGCCCCTCCGTGGGGCACCCGGCCCGGCGCCCCTGGCTGCTCCTTCGGGCCCCACCATGGCCCCCTCGGCTGCCCCGAGACCCCTGGGATGGATCCATCAGTCCCTAAATCCGCCCCCGCCGCCTCCAGCACCTCCCTGACCGCGGGAAGGGCAGGGGAGAGGCCACAATGAATAAAAACACGATACCGCTTAATTAAAAAAATGATACTTTTATTTTAAATGTAGCTACTGTCATCAGTCATCAAAATAGACTTTGTAATAGTTACTTTGTTTTAAATACAAGGTGACAAATGACAGCTAAGAATTCAAACTACAGGAAACGGCCTAAAGCTGGAAATTACCAGAACTTAAATATTCTAAATTACATTTTTCAGAAGATAAAAAGAAATAAAAATACTTTCCAGGTGAAAGTAAAATAATTTGGCCAGTAAAATCATACTAGAATTGAAAACTAATGAGACGCTGTGTCTGAAACGCTTGAGGCCGCCGTCCTGTCGCTGTCATTTAAAAGCTGCTCACAGCTAAAAAAAAAAGATCTCGCACGTTTGGGCAACGTAACCGCATCGTTTTTCTTACTTTTGAGCCCAGTTTGGGGCTGCGGGAGGTCCAGGCGGGCGCCCGTCCACGCGCTGGGGCTGGAGCGTCGCTGCGGGGCCGGTGCCGCCTCAGCCCTCGAAGCGCCACTGCTGCGGCAGGGACCCGTCGCAAATGGCCATGGCCACGTAGCCCTTGTGGCTCCGCGCGTCCGCCACCCGCAGGCACTGCCCCACGGACACCTGGTAGAGGCGGCCGTTCCTCTGCGGGGAGGAGAGGGGCCCGTGGCGGCGCCGCTGCGGCCGGGGCCGCTCGCGCCGCCCGCGCGCCGCTCGCTCGCTCACTCACCCCGAGCGTCCACTGCTGCGAGCCGCCCGAGCCGTGGCACTTCATGAGGCGCGGCGGGTCCGCAGAGCGCGTCTCCGACACGTCCAAGCAGAGCAGGTTGTTCAGGATCAGCTCGTGGTCCTCGTTGTAAACCCAGACCTGCGGGAGGAGACGTGGCGACCGTGAGCCGGTCACCCCAGCCCTGCGCCCCGTGTCCCACACAGGCTCCGTGTCACCCTGCGCCGCCTGTGAGGACGAGCCCCAGGTTACTCTGGAGCAAGCTGTGTGACACCCAAAGCCTAAAATGCTGCATTGTGAGCAACCTGGTGTCACTTCTCCTTGGTGTGGTGGAGCTAAAACTGGCCCTTGTGGAGGGCGCCAACCCCGCTCCTGCCAGGCACAGCCCGAGGCAGGAGGCGCTCAGGGCCCCGCACTGAGACACGGCCCACAGGGGCCAGACCTTCCAGCTTAAACCTGGCCTGAGAAAGCCGGGCAGGATTAAAGAGCAGAGAATGGGCAAGTGGCAGGAGGTGCCAGGAACTTATTAAAAGGAGAAGAAAGACAGAGCAAAATGCAAACGCCAGAGAGAAGCCGCCAGAAGGGAGGCAGAAGGCCAGCGGCGGGGAGCAGCCTTGCCGCACCAGGCGAGGACGGGGCTGGGAGCTGCGGCCAGGGCCCCGTGCGCAGCGCTGCCCTCGGAGGGGCCGGCGCCCAGTCACCAACCTCGATCCCACCCTCACGGGATGCTGGAAAGCGATGAAGAGAGAGAGAAAAATAACCAGCCCCCCCCCCCAACATTATGGAGCTCCAAACAGGGCCCCTGTGTTACAGACGTCACCGATGACTGTTTTAGTCCTGACTTTGCAAGGAGCTGGACGTTTTTTTCTTCTTGGGTTGCTTTCCCCTCTTTCACTCATCTTTGTATTTCTCAACAGTAGTTACAAGGTGCTGCTGCTGGTGACGACTGCCTGCTCTTCTCCTGCCCCAAACCCCCACGTGGCTGGCAGCTCTGTCTCTCTCACCATAACAAGATGACACTTTTTTTTTTTTTTTAAATGAGGCAGGTGCCGGTGTCATCAGTTCACATAAACGGACAACGGGGACCCAAACCCTGCGTTACCCCGTCCTCTAGAAGGGCGATCCGTGCAGCCCATTGCTTTGGGGAAAAGGCAGCCAACAACCGAGCGACTCAGGCTGGGCACCAACAGGGGCATCTCTGTTCAAACAACTGCCAGCTCCAACCCCAGCCAAAAACAGCTCGGGGGGGGCCAGGGGTGGAGGAGGGAAACCCGTGTTTCCAGGGAGCGAGGCCTGCAGCAGGACAGGGAATCCCAGCGGGAGCAGGAGGCCCCGGGCAGGGCTGGCCCTGAGCCGCAGCCTCTTCCCCCTTGTCTTGTCCCCAGCTTCCCGTGAGGGCTCGAGGAAGGAGGGCAGGAGCTGCTGGGGAAGCAGCTCTTTGTTGACAGCAGTAACTGCTGCTACGAGCCATGCTGACAGCAGCAGCTTTCTGGTCCTGGCTCCGGGACAGCCCCCTGCTCAGAGTGGCTGCTAATCACCGTTTCAACAAGTTCTAGCCAGAAAAGCCCCTGTCCCCCTGCCTGCCATGCTAAAGCAGATACATCGTCCCACTTTTTAGCAAATTTGATCCTGCTGTTTGGAGATTAGACAAACGCAGATCCCTCCCTGAGGCAGAGAGACAGGGAGAGACCTCCCAGGGAAATGCAGGGATGTAGTAAGCACAGCCCTCTGCAAACTGCTCCAGAGCCAGAGGCTGCAGGAGCTGGCTGGGTTTACAAAGGGCTACACGTGTGTCCAAGGTGCCTTTCCGAAATTCCCCTCTCAAATCCAGTATCCGTTCAAGTCCTTGGGCAGGGCAGAGATGTTCCTGCTCAGACACCCACTTAGTCAGCTCAGCGCCTTTGGGGAAAATGCACAGGGCACAGGAGGTTTTAAGACTTTTGCATGAAAGCATCTTGGTGTTAGGCCTGCATCAGATCAACGCTACAGCTATGATGTTTTAGCTGCTGGGGCACAAACATGGGCAATGGTTTGTCTAGGTTTGGACATTCTACTCCATCTCCAACCCTCCTTTGCTGCTCTTTTCCAGGTTAGTTGGTAGCTGCTCCCTTTCTTTTCCTCTGTGACAGTATCTAGCACCTGTCATCAACCCTTGGTATGGCAATTATGGGTGGAATCCACAACACTCGCGGTTTTGACTCCTGCATTTGAGACACCTCCAGCCTCTCAGGGTCTTGCAAAGGCCCCTCAATGTTTCCATGGCCCCTGGGCAGAGGTTTTGGGATGGGGGCCACCTCCAGCCTCCTCAACCTGCCTCCCAGGTACCAGGATCAGGTACCAGGGCGGCTTCAAGGAGGACCATGTTGCTCTGAGGGGCCTGGCAGCTCCTCCAAATACTTCAACTGCAAAACTTCTCATTCTATGTCAATCTGTTGCTTGCAAAATCCACATTCAGCTTCTCTGCTTCTTGGTTGCCGCCACTCCAGACTCTTTGTGCACTGGTCTTTCTTGACTGGATCCCACCCCTCCTGCTCAAACCATTTCCCATGACAAAATTTTCATTACTCACTCCAGGAGTTGTGTTGAGTTCCCAGTACTACCCTGGGCTACTGATTCTGTTATGTCTGTAAATAAAGGTCTAATATCCATCAACATACCTGACAGGAAGATCCTAATCTTGGAATATTTTCTAAATACATCCTCTCTGAGAACTACTTCTCTCTTGCCTTTTCATACTTCTTTTCCTCAGAAAGCACTGCAAAGTTCTGGCATTCACTGCCACAGGATGCCAAAACACTTCCCCTGGCTGAAAATATTGTTAAATGCTTATGAAAAAGTAAAACTCAAAGGCTGTTATTCATAAAAAAATCTATCTTTGGCTCAGAGGTCACAAAATAGTCCCTGCCTATACTGCTCACTGAGCCCTGTGATGGGCTGGACAGAGTTGGTGTTATCAGAAATGGCAGTCAAAGGAGTCTCACACTTGGAAAGGCTTTTCCCTATTTTTAGTGGCAGGAACTCTTAAGAAGTGTCTTCTTTCTTTACATTCTCATGCATCTTGAGCAAGATTGAGAGGATCTGAAGGAAAATAGGCTGAAGTGTATTCTCAGGATTTATTAGGAGAGAAGGTCTCATGTCAGAAAACCACATTGTTGGCTAAATGTACATGGTTGGAGAGCAAAACCAAGATATCTGGGCCAGTTCCTGACACTGGCTGCTGCTTCCTGCACCTAAGCTAGACTCATTAGAAAGAGAGCTGGAGACCAACAACCTGAACATGAATCAGTCTCAGCACCAAAGGACTGACTGAAGTTTGTCTGTAGAAGGGAGACAAGCAGAAGGTCCTGATAAGGAGGGGGAAACAACAGGCTTCCTCCAACCACGTGGTAGTTCCCCATTAGAAACGTCACAGGGGGAGAGGAGAAACAGTGACTGTGAGGACTCATCTGCTCTTTCTATGGGTGGTCTCCACCACAAACAGTCTGAGCTTCTCTACTCAGACCAAAGGGCTCAGGAGGCAGCTCAGCACCTTGGCAGTGTTAGTGGGAAGTCTCTGGTGCCAACCACTACATTTACATAGTCAGGAAGGCTTGTTGACTGTCTGGGAGCTTATGGAAAGGGAACGTATTGGAAAATCCTGACTGCCCTTCCCATTGCAGTGTAAAACCATCCATCTTCAGCGCATGGGAGCTACAGTTTGGTCCTCAGGGATGTATTTACTGATGGGTTCAGTGTGGCAGCTGCAAACACACATCTAGGGCCACATTGTGTTCACCCAGACACTGCCTAGCACCACTTTCTAGTCATTACTAGAGATATTAATGAAGATCCAGTTTAAGGTTAATCAATTCCACAGCCACATCATAAGCTCTTTTTGCTGTTACTTGTCGTCATCTCCATTAAGGACCATTTTTAACCCTCCAGGCTTTAAACTCCACCACCCATCTCAGCTGCTGATTCTCCACACAGTGCGACATTGAGCACTTCCATTGACTGACTGCTGAAGTTTGGTTGTCCTCAAAACTGTCCCCAGTTCCATAAAACAACAAGTTGCACAACCCTTGGTGAAGCAGTGCTGCATTACACGACATGCGCCATTTATTTAGTGTCTTTCATGACTTTTCTCCTTAGAAAAGAGCTACCCCCGTCATTAGCAGTTCAGCTGCAGCCAAAAAAGCCTCTAAGCTCCTTAGATCTCCTTTATTTAGTGGTGGGAACAAATCACTCACCAGAGCCACTACAACAGCACATAAACACAGTGATGTGCTGCACGAGAGTGGGCCAAGAAGGAGCCACCATGAAGAACTGACTGGGAGCCCGTCTACAAGGCCTCAAGTGCTGAGCAGGGGCTCCTCTGAACTTATCCAGTGCCACCTGGGGTAGTTTTCAGCCAAAAATAGAGATTCAGCCCACAAAGAGAACAGGTTGTGACATCAAACGGTTGACACTAGTAGGTAGTGAGCTCTGCAGACTCCTTGGCCAACCTTGTGGTTTGAAGAACACTCTGAAATCAGTCTCCCTGCACCAAAAGGAGATGTTACGCTGAGGTGTTTTGCCAGCAGGACACATTAACCGTGTGCAACACGTGCAGCACGGGCCCGGCTCGCTGGGAAGCGGTACCTGGTTCGGATCGTTGTAGTCACATTCCCGCACCACCACGAGGCCGCCCTTCTGGCTCGGGTGCCCTTGGGCAACGAGGCATTTGCTGGTCTGCAGGTGATAGAGCTGTGAAAGGAAAACACGGTCAGAGGGACACAGCAAAGTGAATTTGAGGTCTTGCACATGTTTCTTTTGATAAGTCTGTGTACTCACCAAAAAATCCATGACACAAAGGATCATTCTCCTTTAAAAAACATTTTGGTTTTCCAGATAAAATGGAGAAAAGCCAACATTAAGTAATTCTATTTTGTTTTCTAACTGCCTCAAGATTTCTCCATCTTTATGGTACAAGTGGAGCACACACAACGCACAGGACACACAAGGAGCCACTACACACTCTAGGACAGGTTTCTTTCAGTCTAAGCTCCCAGGTACTCGCTAGCTCAAGAATTTAAACTGTACTGTACAAACTACATTTACTACAATTTACCCTAAATACCTCATTCCTCTCCCACAGCCCCTGCTTTGGAAGGAAAGAAAAAGATAGTGCTTCAATACAAGAAAGTAGATATTATAAACTTGATTAAGTGCATTTATGTAGCTGAAAAAGATACTGAAAAAAAATACTTACCAGCTATATTATTTTAATTACAGATCAGAGGAGGAGAGAGAATGGTGCACACCCTGAGCTGGCAGTCAACAAATCTCTTCCTTCCATCCCACGTTTTCATTTTTCCCCCATTAATGTGCTGGGGGGAGGCTATTCAGGCAACAGATGCTGCCTGCGGGTAGTGGAGAGCAGAGCAGGGCAAACGCTCCGGCTCTGGCCACAGCTCTGGGGCTTCCTGCCTGGCAGGGCACAGCCCCAGGCTCCGTGGGTGGCACCTGTATTAATAACTGCTCAATTGGGAGCCAAAGGGAAAGGGAAAATATGTTTTGTTGTCCTGAACTCGAGGCCGGGCTGGCTGCTCTGCTCACTTCACTATGGACACGCTGTTGCCTTGTCCTTCATATTAATTCGGTTGGATTCCTGAGAAACCAAAAGGCACTTCCAACAACAGCAGGACAGAAATAACTACAGCATCACAGGACACCAAGAATTGAGAAGTGCACAACAAATAACCCTCTGATGATTAAGGAACTGGAGCATCTCTTGTGTGAGGAGAGGCTGAGTTGGGCCTGTTTTCTCTGGAGAAGAGAAGACTGAGAGAGGATATGAAGGGGGAATGTAGAGGGGAAGGGGCCAAGCTCTTCTCAGTGGTGGCCAGGACAGGACAAGGGGCAATGGGTACAAGTTGCGACACAGGCAGTTCCATCTCCATGTGAGGAGGAACTTCTTCCCTGTGAGGGTGCCAGAACCCTGGCACAGGCTGCCCAGGGAGGCTGTGGAGTCTCCTTCTCTGGAGGTCTCCAAACCCACCTGGATGCCGCCCTGTGCCCCGTGCTCTGGGTGTCCCTGCTGGAGCGGGGGTTGGACTGGATGATCCCTAGAGGTCCCTTCCAACCTCAGCCATTCTGTGATTCTCCTCCAAGTCTCACCCCTGGCAGTTCCCAAAACACCACAGGCTCTCTCAAGTGCACCGTGTTTCTCCTATCTTCAACATATGTAGGGATTAAATGACAACTTCCAGAGCAACGCTCCCCAGGGATTCTTGGTGCACAGTCTCATCCACAGCATAACTCAATATTCAGCTTCCAGCTCACAGAGCTACGTGAGTTTTACATCATTTGCCCCTGCTTTTATTGACCACAATGATCAACATTTGATAACACCACTAAGCACCATCACAGCTTGTGATTATCATAGCTCTTCCCAACTGTCAAATTACCACTCATCTCTGGCCCAACTAGTTTTGGGGGAATAAGCTGGAATTTTGAGTGATTCATTTTGAATCCTGAGAAGTTTGGCACATAGTGGTGACATTGGCTGACCATTCTGTTCCTTACAGGCATCTGGAATGAGTTTACATGGAACCAAGCTTCGGAACTGCCTTTTTCTGCATCTTCCCTCCCTCCTTTTAAAGGGTTAAAGAAGAAAACCCAGAAGCCTTTTAAAAACACAATAAACCAAAATATGAGAAATCACCACTAGAAAAGCTGCTCCTTTTTGTGGTTGCCCAGACAACTGCATCCCTCGGGAGCTTCTCCCCACATCAACATTTTTTAAAGCTAAGGATCTGTGTGAACAAAAGCAGAAAGCCACTGCATTTCAGGGGGTGGTGGGAAGTGTCTGCCTAGAGGAGAGCCTGGATCAGCTCTTTGGAACAGTGGCATTCAGGGAAACTGCTTGGGTTTGCCCTGATGAGTAACTTCAGGGCTGGGCTGGGACACCATTAAAGAGCCTTCTGCAAGACCTGGGCCCCAGAAACCTGATTCTGTGCATGGGTCTGAGATCTCAGGGCCTCCAACCTGGATCTACCTGCAGGAGCAGCAACTTGCAGCAGATTGTGCAGACCTGGAGAGGCTCCAGTCACAGCCAGAGCTTCCAGTTAATGGTCAAGGCTGGAATCTCTTGTTATCCCTTATCTACGTGCACATGAAACAGTTCACTCAAAGGGCTTCTCTTTCACAGAGGAAACCCTGACAAAGTTCGCTCGGCTTTGGAGCTATCCAGGATTTTGGAAGCATAATACACACATGTACCCTTATGTCAGCCAAAATTTAGAAGTCAGAAGTCAGCCAAAATTAGAAGAGGTGCAATTCTGTCTCTGTCTGCATATAAATCCATAGGAGTCAGAGTTAAAAGGTAAATCTTTGTCCAGATTTTCTTTGTGAATACACATAAAAATATATTCCCCCACTTCTACTTGGCAACAGCCAAGAAAAAGCACCCTAAAGACTTCAAAACTTCAGTTCAAAGCCTACAGGTAAAAGGCCTCAATTAAATAGTATCTAGTCTGAAGACAACCTGAAATACAGATTAGGGTCAGACTGAGTTACTTTTGTCTGAAAACACAAAATTAGTTATCTTGAAAACAAAATCCACTGCAATACTAAAACCTCTCTCCTCTACGGAAGTGCACCATTTCACACATTATTGAACAAACCTCAAATTTCTTCCTGAAAGAAAAATTCATAAGACAGATTTCTGGAGTTTTAAGAAAAAGTTGATCTTACCCTTCCACGCTGGATTATTTTTGGTCGCTTTTGCGCTCTATTAATAAAAACCGGCTGCTGAGCTTTGGCATTGGGGCCAGATATTTGCATCTCAGGATAGATATTATCTAAATACCACTTAAATGACTTGCAGTTCAGTCTTTTTCTCAGTTCTACACGGTCAGTAATATTTCCATAGCTCCTGGTCCTTAGCTCAGGTCTCAAAGCAAAATACTGCTCCTGTATTTAATGGAAACAAAGAGAAGAGAACGTCAGGTGACCTGTTTGGAATTTTTTCCCCTATTTGTAGAATCCTCCAAGTTTTATTTACAGCAGGTAAGCTTCAAAAGTATTTATCACACCCAGAAAACCACATTCTATTGTTGCTAAAATAATAAGCTTGCACCTTCTCATAATTGTCAAAGCAAAATGTAAATTTTGGTGCTTCCATCACACAATTTCTTTAATTTCTTTAAATACTGCAATTGGCTCTTTGCTGCAGAGCAGGCCCCCTAAGTCTTCTCTTGGTGCTATTTATCATACAATCATTTCAGCAAACAAGGCTCATTTGGCAGTAATATTTGAGCTATATTTGTAAGGATAAAAATATCTCCAGAGCTGCCTTCCCTCCACACACCTGTGATAATGAGAGCCTGGCAGCTACCAGGGAATTAGGTTAGAAACAGCCGGAAAAGGTCAGAGCACAAAACTGATCAGGGACCCTAAAACCAGTGGTTTGAGTGGGTTTTGCACAAAGCAGTATTAGTTGAAAGCGATAACAAAGAATCAACTCCAGCCCTCAGAGAAAGCCATCGTTAATCACCACACAACTGTGCCCAGACCCCATTAAAGTGCTGGATCTAATCTCCAAATGCATTACAGAGATGGAGCAGGGAGATAAAGTTAATGATCCCTAATAAATTCCTCAAAGTGACAGAGCATCAAGATAAAGGATGGGCTTCAAAACCCCAGCTGTTAAGAAATTTAAAGATTGCATTTTGTATGAATTGTGTTTCTATAAGTAAATTGAAATTGCAATTGTATAAATTGCAAATTTATATAAATTACACGGACTATAAGACCCAACTCCAAAGCAAACCCTGTGGTCTCAGAAGGCAAAATAACTGAGGTATCAGTGAGATCAGGGCTTCACAAAGACAGGTGAAAGGCTCGATGTACATTTGAAAACATTAGGATTTCAGTCTGAAAGCTGGAAGATTGCTAGCATGAATGCAAAAGTCAGTTCCCATTGACCTACCACGGTTACACAGACTCCAAGAATCAGAGTGCTAATTAAAACACAAGGCAAACAAGCAATAAACACTCCGGGCTCCCTGGCAGGGAACCCGAAGGCACAGAGCAGTGTAAGGCTGCCATGTAATATCCATTTGGATATGGAACCATGGAGAGCTGACAAGCTCGTTCATCATACTTTACTTGATGGAAAAGGCACGATTTAGTTTCCTCAAGGAGCAGAAATGAAGGCAGGATTAACAAGGAGTAAACTTGAGCGCTCAGAAGCTACGTCACAGTCCTAGAGACCTCAAATTCATGTCAAAACAAACATTAGGAAATGGGAATACAGCAGCAAGCTCCTATTGGCATCATCAACACCTCGCCAGGAAACAGCCCTTTGACAAGAACCCAGTTAGCCCCATTTTGTGGCCTGGAAGCATCTCTTACCTTATATTCATCCATCCACACGTGGGCCAGCCTCAGCGAGTTATGAGCCATAGTGTCCTGGCCCCCCGGTGAGCCATAGGGGCGTCTTTTCCGGAAAATGTGTCCCACCCTGGAGCAGGGGATGATCAGAAGTCTCCCCCCACACATCCAGATCTGTCCACACAAGAGCAGAACAAACCTCAGGGCAGGAATATCCACCAGGCTCACTACCTCCCTCCCCTTCTTCAAGAGATACTTAGGTATCTTTATGCCTGATGACGGGATTAGGTGTCTGCACTGTTCTCCTACGTGCCATGCCTTCAGACAAGTGAAATTATTAGATTTGCAAGTTAGAAAAGACCTTTTTTGGGGTCATGTCACCAGACCTTCCATATAAACATACACCTCGCCTTTCACAAAACACAAATACGATAAATTTCTAATGCTTTATGCTCTAACAATCTACTTGAGCACTCTGAAGTACCCAGCCTGGGATTCAGCTCCATGGTTAAGTTACCTGAATTTATTTGTCTATGGGAGAGTTACATGCCTACACTTCCATAACAGATGATGGTCAACACCATCAGTGGAGCCTGGAGAGATTTTTCAATCAAGTGCAAGTACCCATTTTACACAGTTGTTTACCTCTATTTACTATATAGAAACTCATAAATATTGCTCATACACAGACACTGCATTTAGGTGTTTAAGTCAAGCTCTATTCAATCCAAAATTACTTCATTTGCACTTTCATCGACTACTTTTCATGATTTTCTTTTCAAATTTAATCTTCCAGCAAATTAAAACTATTGGACCTTTGTTAGATTGGCACGTTGTTCTCTGAGCTTAAAGAGGAACTCCTCTCACACAAGCAGTTTATAATCAAATCACTCTTACACCTCCTGGATAAACTAAATAGACCAAAACCTTCTTATCAGCACTTTCCCAAGGAGGCAGGGCTTCCAAATATTATATGCTCTCTAAATATTGTCTTATTTTTCAAAGCCCTTATCATCAAAACTTAGCGTACTGCATAACAAGAACAAAAATCCATCTCTGCTCCCTGCTCTCCTATCCATACATCCAACAATTACATTCTCGCTGAAAATTTGAAATTTTTCTTATTCACTACACACTCCTTTAGAGTCAGTTCAGTTTGAAGGCCCATTCTTATTTTTGATCTCTCTTCCAAATATCTCTAATGATGCAATTAGAGAACAGATTTCTCTGAAAAAAAAAAAGTTAACTGCAACTTGTAACCATGTTTTGCATATTTGTTAATGATGTGCGTCTCATTTTTAGGCAGACTTGCCAAACCTATTTGTGAATCAGTTTTACATAACTCAAGATGCAAACACGATGCTGAACATGGAAAGTTTTGATTTTCTTTCAGGGGAGAAGTGGGGCAAAATACAGCAACCCCAGTGAAGTACCACGATAGAATCGTCTGATAACCATTTTCTCATTATTTTTCTGTCCAAGTCGACTCTTACATGCTTCTGCTCTATGTACTTATCAACAATTACATTTCCAAGCCCTCAAGAAGCTGTAGTGTCCAGAATGCCCCACAAAAAACTTTATAAACTTACTCAGTCATTGCTGCTGTGAGCCTTATGTCTGCCTTGTAACTGGCTTCTGAAATTCTCCACACAATTATCATAAGCTCATTGCAGTTTACATGACTAGTACACTTCCTGTGCTTCTTTATATGCTTAATAAGCACCAAAGAAACCCCACAAAATTAACTATACAGCTGAAAACACCCCAAATCTTCCTTCTTAAACTTAAGTTGAAAATTACTGTATAAACTGTGTGCTGAGGGCATCCTTTATGCAGACAGAAGTGCCAGTTTCTATGTAAATAGCTACTCAATTGCTAAATAATCTGCACACAGAGAAGTGAAGCAGCCCGACGCTGATGCTCATACTCCAGTACACATAAAAACTACATTACCCGAAAAGAGATCTCCAGGTTCTCTCCTCCCCAGATGTCCATGCCACTGTCATACTGTCCCAGTTCATTGAAGTACTCACGATCCATAGCAAACAGGCCTCCAGCCATAGTAGGTGACCTAAAAAGAAATATTGAAGATCTCCTATATCATACAAACCACTGCACTTGGCTAAAGCTGCTAGTTGTAAGCTTTATATTTAGACCTACAGAAGAAAGTTTCAATGCTGCAGACATTAAAAACCAGAATCCAGAGGACTCATTACTACTGAAATTAAATTAGAACAAGTACTAACTCCCTAACAAGATTCAGATTTAAAGAGCATAAGCCAGGAAGGCAAGCTTTTGCATTTTGTGGATCCTGGATTCTGTACCGAGAGGGAGAGTTGTAGGTAGGAACAGCACAACTGGCTCCTTCCCACTGCTCTTGTCAGCAGCAGTTTTTCTCAGGATGGGTTTCACACTGGGGCACTACTGGTCTTGGGTCTGGGCTATACGTGCTAACGTAGGTGTCTGCTGGCATTTTTTCATAGCAGGGTTACATGTCCAGGAGGAGGCAGACACTGCCAGTTCTGCACAGGTCAATGGGTAAATGATGCTTTCAAGTCCCAGCATGGATATAATTAATATCATATTTAATGATATTTCCCCCCCCAAAAAACGTCTCCAACAATTTAGACCACAAAAGTCAGGCTTTCAACAGCCCGACAGCTTCTGGTGTTGGCCACATTCTGCAAAGGCACAGTTAATGTTTTAAAGATGTTTTTCATATCCATGTGTGTTCAGTTAGGAAGCGTTATGACAAAATAAATGCTTGCCTGAGAAAGAATAATATTAACAAAAATTAAAAAAGATGTTGACATAGAAGATTATTAAATGCTCTAATAGTCCCTCCCATGAGCTATGAAACCACCTTCCTATTACCACAAGAATATTCTTCCAAACTGGCAGTTCATTAGCATTTCCTCACAGAGCCTATATTAGGGGGATAAGCAGGCTGCTAGTAATATAGTTATCAAAAAATATTATTAAGCTAAACATCAACAGCCTGGAGACAAATTCACATCAATGCACAGCTCAAAAATGAAATTACTAGTCAGATTTCTACAGAGTAACATAAGTTCTTTAAGTCTTATATCTTCAGCAAAAGATGCTGTTATGTAAGAATTCTCTGAGGTGTGTTTTCTTGATCCAATATGGACATATTTAAGCTAGGATTAGATACTGGAAGTTCAATTGAAGCTTGAGAAGTGCTGCTGAGAGCTCTTATCTCTTTCTCTCTACTGTCTCTCTATCTATAGAGCCAGTAGACCACACCACGCAGGAGGAACCTTACTTGATTGGAGCCGTGGCTCCCTCGGGCCCTTCCAGCTCGGAGAGGGGAACAAGGTCCCACTTGAAGTGCAGGCCCCAGTTAAAGCCGCCGCGCACGACGGGCGACGAGCTGTAGGCGAGCGTGTCGGCGCTGATGATGTCGATGACGGGGCACACCACGGTCCTGCGGTCCTCCCTGATGGGCCTCAGCAGAGGCTGCAGCCACATCTCGTTCACCTCGCAGTGACTGTCCAGGAACACGAGGACTTTTCCTATGGAGGCCAAAACGCACAGGGGGGCAAAGGTCGGGGGGAGCATTAAGGGAACAGAAGCACAAAAGCAAAGAACCCTTAAGGTTGGAAGGGACCTCTAGAGATCATCTGGTCCAACCCCCTGCTCCAGCAGGGTCACCTACAGCACGTGGCACAGGGCTGCGTCCAAACAGGTTTTGAAGGTCTGCAGAGAAGGAGACTCCACAACCTCTCTGGGCAGCCTGGTCCAGGGCTCTGGCACCCTCACTGTCAAGAATTTTTTCCTTAACTTCCTGAGGAACTTTTGGTGCCTTGGTTTGTGGCCGTTTCCTCTAGTTCTATCAGCGGCCACCACCAAAAAGAGGCCACCCCTTCCTCCTCACTCCCTCCCTCGAGGTGTTTATAGACACTGATCAGGTCCCCCCTCAGCCTTCTCTTCTCCAGGCTCAACAGGCCCAGCTCTCAGCCTTGAGTCCTCGCTATTCACATCCATTTTTCACATGAATTTCTCAAGTGGGCACTTAGATATTTTCCCTTGACAGGATTTTAGAGTTGTTTCATACCAGGCTCAGCAGAGGTTTGTGCATTAAATAAACTATCAGGATGAGTTCACTAACGCTAAGAGCCCGTGTGATGCTGGCCAGGCATCCCAAGGGCAGCGCCTTTGCCCTCACACAGGACACCTTTCAGGTCTAATTCAACACTACCCAGGGAGCCAGGGACGAAGAGGCTGGGTCAGACCGTCCCCCTCAGGATGCAGCTCCCAACTCCGATCACTCTGGAGTCAGTCTCTCCATATCAGACATCAGCAGCCATCCAGTTGCTGTTGCAACTAAGATGTGGAGATTTTAAGCCAAACCATCCTAATTTGCTTTCCTTTATAACCCAAAACACAGAGTTTCAATTCCTGGATATGAACTAAATATAGAATATCTCCTTATTTCATTAGCTTTACACTTGCTGTGGATTCATACCAGCTTAAAGTAGAGTAAAAGTCCTAAACTGTAATAGCAAAAACCAGTCTTAGACCAAGGAACACTTCAGTTTTGAAAAAAATCAGTCCCGTTATTTTATACGGCCATGGTCAGGGAGGACAGTTCAGTCTGTGAGAGATCTTCTGGCTAAATTGTCTAAAAGTCATTTTAAATTTTATTCCAGAGCATTAGAAAAAAAATATATGCAATTTTAAATTATGTGGTAAAGGGATTTACAGAAAACAAGCACACAAACATAATGAGTCACCCATAATGAGTCACCCATTAACAACAGACAGTATTTGAATGAGTGGGGAAAAAAAGAAATATTGTAGCAGTTCAGAAGAGCACTAAAGTGACTTAAAATTGCTCTAAGTCAAATGAGTCCTAGCAGAGTTTGGAAACTGCAATCACAATTTTCTCTCCGAATTATACCATTACATTGCTAATGAGCAAACACCAATAAAGAGACTTTATCCACCACTCAAAAAAATATTGAGAAAGTAGCACATACGCTCTCAAATGCCACTGAACTTAACCAGGGAGCATTTATGGTAAAATGCACACAGCATATGGAAAGCACCAGATCCAGTTTATCCCAATTAACACTTCCTGTGACAACTGGAAGCCTCGTGCGAGAAACAGATCCACGAGATGAGAGAATCAGAAGCCAGTTTAAAGTTTTGCTACTCCCTCCCTTCATAGGGGAGCAAATTCTCATGTAAAGCCATTGCTCCAAAATGGCAAACACAACTTCCAGCTTTGAAGGAGATGTTTGAGACAAGGCTCTTTGAGAGCAGGAATAAGAAAGATCCTACTCTGCCCTACCAATCTTTTCAAATACTGGTTTTGTTCTGCTGTTTCTCTGACCCGCTCTAAATCTCACCTCATTAAGTGGGTAACAGAAAAGTCTTTGGTGAGGGCTAGTTTAGTAAAGCTATGACAAAATGCTGCAGAAGGTTCCACATAGATCATGACCAGTAACAGGATGCAAGAATTCCAATATCCAAGCAATGCTGGATAAGTAAGGTCTGCAATCATCACCCTACAAGTATTACTGCAGACACTTGTTAGCTGTTACAACAAAGTTTAACACAAAAACAGCCATAGAGAGATGCAGGTTAGTATTTTTAGTCACCTACATCTCATAATAGTTGTTCAAATATCTTTCTGAACTACTATTCTCCAAAGATCTTCTTTTCCCTGCTTGGAACAGAGCACGACTCACAGCAGGCTGAAGCCACCACATCCATCCAATATTCAGCAGTCAAAAGAGCTGCCCTGCTGGAAGTCACCCAATTATAAATGGTCCCAGTGTGCAAAGGAAAGGAGAAAGAAGCTGCTGTACCTGTGGCATGAGAGGCTCCAATCATCCTTCCTCGGATCAAGCCTTCCCGTTTCTCATTTCTTACCAACTTGGTGGTTTTGGGAAGTTGAGTCTTGACATATTCACTCAGGTCTTTCTTTAAGTCAGCTGAGAGAAGGAGAACACAAGTTAAATGACTGGATGCAATTGTATTTTACCACCCAGCTTGTCTACGCCCTGCCACTGCCTCAGGCTTTATACTTATCTTTAGCTTCTTAAATACGTATTATAATACATATTATACTGCCTTTTTTTTTTTTTTTTTGCTGTTTGCAAATACTTCAGTCGTATTATATTAAAGTTTTAACTGGAAGCCCTAGGCCAACAGGAATTACTGCTGCTAAAAACATACAAATCAAAACACAACCTCACACGTGCACAGAGACATGTGCATTTTTCTTCCAAATTATTACAGTGGTGGCAGTCTGACATTTGTAGCAAAATTAATGAAAGCCTTTTCACAGAAACAAGTAACCCAAGTCACTAGTGTTCCATACACCAATGCAAATACTGACAGCTTTAGAAAGCAGCACGAGGATGGCTTTCACTATCTGTATTTGTCTTTTTGCATCATCTGTACCTGCCTGGTAAAAGGGGCTTTAAAAAAAGGAGCCTCTCGAGTTTCAAGGCAAAGATCGGAGCTCTGCACAGCAGCACTGACGGGCAGCTGAGCTGCTATGATTAACATGGAGGGAAAAAGGCAGAATTTCATCTGAATTTCATACCAAGAAAAGCACTGTGTATGTATTTCAGGGAAAATAAATAAAGACCAAAGAGGCCAAGAGATTAAGCAATTCCTGCAGGCTCATGTATGGGATCTGTGGCAGAATCAAAGACAAGTCTTAGTCCATTTCCCCAGACACCAAATTGGCTTCACATCAAACTAGCTTTGCTTTCTTCCAGTTACAAAATCCCATCAAATAAAAGTAAGCAGCAGTGCAAATATTAGTAGCTTCACCACTGAGAGCAGGATTGCTTTGTCCAAAGAGCATCTTTTCAAATCCTGTGTTTCAAATTGTGTTTATTTCAAGTCAGAAATGCAAGAGTAGCCACTTGAACACTTTGAGACTAATGTGGCCTCTCACAAAGCAAAAGGTCAGAACCAGAGCACGATAACTAAATGCACTACCATACTGAAAAGACTAAATTTTGAAGTAATTTGAGTGCTGAAATTTATGAAACTTGAAAGCAATAAATTGCACCAGGGAATCTACAATTTGTAACAAAAGGTACATATGGCTTCCAGAGCACAGAAGGATAAAAAATGCTTTTAAATCTACACACGCATGCTTACCGGAGAGGAACAGTGCTTCCTCTTTGTTCTCTCCTGTATTTTAACATTTGATCAGGTCTCACAGAAACAAACTAGTTGCAAGAGAACTGCATTCTACGCTGTGCGTGTCTAGCCAGTCTCACAAGAAAGTGAGACTTTCAGCCAGAACACAAGTTGTAAGACCAGGGGAGTTCATTGTATGAACTAAAAATGAATCTAATACAAAACACACTGAAAACCCAGCAAGAGCTACTCAAAGGGTGGCCACAAGGGGCTGTGCAAGAGCCAGGCAGAGTCCTGGGCCCAGGCTGAGCTCTGAGCCCACCATCCCCAACCACAAGTAGCAAGACCTGGCCACAGCATTTCCCTAAGGCCACATCAGCTTCTTTTCTAGGCTGCAGGTGAAGCTATGGGCAAGCAAGTCCTTCCAGAGCAGGCACTGAAAGTCTCAAGTCTACAAAACATGGGGTAATAAAATCAATGTACCTACCCCAAGCATCACAGACGCCCAGTGAGATGTGCTGCAGGCTGCTGCACTGTTGAAGTCAGCTGACCTACCAACAGCTGCTTAACCATCCCCTCATCCCTTACAGAAACAGGTTTTGAAGCTTGTAGTGTCATATAAACACAACCATTCAAAGCTCATCAGCAAAATCAGCAGGAGTGTCCACCAGGATGCCCTTTGGGACTTCTCAGAAGGTCAGGTGTCTACACAGGCACCTCGCAGATACAGAGAGCAGTACAAATCAGTTTTACACCCGGGCTTCTCCATTTTTATTTGGACAAATTAATAAAGGAAGAGACAGGCAGGTCACGAGCCAGGAAAAAGTGTAAACGGTCACCAAAAAAACACTAGAATGGTCTCGTACCCAATTCACTGTTGTCATCCACCAGAATAACTTCATGAAGGAGGTAGGCGGGGGTGCGATCCAGGACGCTGTGGACCGTGCGAAGCAGCGCGGAAAGGGCTTCGTTGTAGAAGCAGATGATGACACTGGCAGACGGCAGGTCGGAAGGGTAGGACTTCTCTCTACACCTGCAAACAGAAAAGCAGCAGTTAACGCTGTGTTTGCAAGGCTGTATAACTAAGCTGTATTACTAAAATTACTGTACTACTTCCTAAATAAAAAAGAAACATTAAAATGTATAGAAGAACACATAATTTGAATGTAAAAATCCAGGAGGATAAAACCCATACTAGGACTCAGCATAAATTACCCTCCACATAATGCAGACTTAATAGCTATGCTTAATAGCTAATAGCCCTTAGTAATAATTTATAATAATAATAAAGGACTAAAAGCAATGGGCATATTGGAAAATGTAAGCTAGAGTGGACCTCAGTGGAAGACATGTTAAGACATGACAAAAATGGATGCTAAGGGCTTGGTTCAGCTGTGAAAAATGTCTAGTATCAGTGGGAGTCAGACTTGCACAGGAGCAAGAAATATGACAAACAGCTTACAAAGACCCCACCCCTCTATTGACCAGTTGCTGCAGACAGGCTGGATATCCCAGAACATCCCAAATCCAAGATCCCTGAATCCCAGGATTCAGGGTGCAGATTAAAACACTTAAATCTAGTCAACGGGCAGGGGAGTGAGGGGTGTCCAGCCCCCTGAAGGGAGAGGTGGGTTTTGCCAGCAGAAGAGCTCTGCACACTCCAGCAGTGACCACCTGGAACTGACCAAGTGTTTCTGCACATCTGCTAATTATAATAAATGTAGAGACAACAGACCAGCATACAACTCTCTAAACATAAGTAACTTAATATACAAATTGACTGCCATTCAAAGCAAAAAAAACTTCTTTCTGTTGATCTTCAGGTTTTGGTCATACAATCTAACAGGGTGCAATGTCTCAAACAAATGCCATTTAAAGTAAGATGCCAGGCATGAAGGAATTCAATAAAAATACAAAATACTGCAAACAAAAAAATGATAACTATCCACTGACTTGAAAGGAGCTCAGCTTTGGGGAAGCTATGTTTCAGCAAGTACAATTCACTGCATTTTGCCACAGCAGAGCAGCCACTAGAAAAATTAGACAGAGGTTTATTTATAAGTAGCTGGTCCTGGATCCTTCCTGTCCCCAGGTGCCTTGCTCCAAGAGACAAATGCACAGGTGAGCCAACCCCCAAATCCTGTATATTCATATATTAACTATACTGCATCACTCTCAGATTCCCATTAGTTTTGCAGTAATGAAGAGTCTCTTTTACTGACAGTCATCCAGAACTTGTTTTGCTTTGGAACTATATTTCTAAATTTGAAAAGCCCAAAGAGTTCCTCAGATTTCTTTTTAGTAAGACATAGCTTAGTGGTGAATCAAGCTGCTTCATATCTGGCACCCTTCAAAATACAAACCACTTCCACCTTTCTGCTCTTTCAACTTCACGTTAGCAAGATGCTGTCACATAGGTACTTCTTGACAGTGGGGTAAGCTCCAAACCATAAGCAAAATAGTTGTTTAAGACACCTTAACCTTCAGAGACACATAAGCCTTCCCTTTGGGGAGCAGTCATCTGTTTTCACGTAACTTCTTTGGTGAGAGCTTTACCAATCTCACTCCCTCCCCAGTTTGTATAAAATTAAGTCTCCAAAGGAATATTCAAAGCAGAAGAAAACACAGAGCACACCAAGAAGCCCAAAGAAAAATCCTAATCCCAAACCCTCTGGCTTGAATGGCTGGAAATCTGCCCTCAGTGGCTCAGCATATAAGGAATATCTACCATAAATGTAATAACAAAACATGTTATTTACTTGACCAGCAGTGTGTGCAACAAGCTCTTAGGCACATACAATTTCCCCATGTTTTCTCTGTAAGTTAAATACATACTTTGCATCTCTTGTATCGGGTACCTCCCTGTGGTACCCCAGCCGGTTGCTGATGAGCATATTGAAGGCATGTTTCTGATAGCCCAAGTCTCTCACCTCCTGATCTTCTTCATTAAAAATCATCCCTGAAAAAAAAAAATACAAGCCAAGATCAGTTTACAGACTCAAAAATACCCTTTGGAAACAATCAAGGATTGAGAAACAGGCCTTGACTTCCTCTAAAACTCACTATCTTGTGAAATCTCTTTAGCTTCTTGTTTTGCAAAGTGCATTTTGGGCAGCTATTTTAGTTTCTGACTCTAATAGCCAGTATTTATGAGTCGTGCCTGCAACTGTAATAAAACATTTTCTCCAAAGACTGACTTCTCCCTTGTGTTATTGCCTTAGCAGACATGTGTCCTTCTGTTAAATGGCCTTGTATTCTTACCACTGCCTAAACATCCACTTACGAGCAACAGAGGACAAACTTTGGCCACACAATACATCAGCTGCTAACCATACAGATGAAGTGGATTTTCTGAGAGAGAAAGAAGAAAAAAGGAGCTTACAAGACTAGGAAACCCCCTAATGCTTCAATTATTTTTTTGAAGTCTGCAATAATGCAAAAATAGTTATGGCAATCGTGAACTTACGTCATTTGGGACTCAGACAGCAAGCTAAAGAGCAGAGCCAGATATTTCTCTGATATTGTAGCAAAAGCACCGAGCGTTGCTCAGCACAGCAGAGGCAACAGTCACCACCCTGAAGTAATTTAAAAGCAAAGCAGTGCTTTATTGTCTGCATTCAGATGGCTGCACACAATGAAACGTGACTGTCCTCTACAGCTATCACCAAGCTATAGAGGCAACTGCACCAAAATCTTAGGACAAGCGAGCAAGGATGGAGTAACCATCTCCTTCCACCTTGCCCATCACCTTCATATGGTTCTGAAAAAAGGTGTTAGCAAAGGACTCTCTCAGTCACTTACTTCCATATGTTTGGGATAACATTTCATTCAATCACAGAACAATACAGGTTGGAAGGGACCTCTGTGGGGCATGTAGTCTGATCTCAACTCTGGTCCAACCAGAACTTATCCAGCTAAGTCTTCCAAATCTCTGGTATGTCCAAGAATTAAGATTCTACTTCCTCTTTGGGCTCCTACTGAAGTATTTGACCATCAACCTGAAAATGTTTTTCCTCTTAGCTAACTTTCTCTGTGTTCCAACTTCTTGACATAACACCATGCACCTCCAAGGAGCCCAAGGGCATCTTCTTTACAGCCTCCTCTTCGGTATTTGTTGACTGCAATAAGATCTCCACCCTTCACCTCCTTCTTCAAGGAAGGATAAATGAACTTCTCCCAGCTTCTCCTCAGACCTTGTGTTCTCCAGTTTTGGAAAAATTAGCAAAATCAGTTGAGCTCAGACACAGAGATGGAGGAAAGATAAGAAAGCAGAACATTCTTTCATGTTACAGCAACACTGTTTATATGTAGAGACAACAGGAAGACCTTCCAGAGGGAATTCTGCAGGAATTCTGCATGCCCACATGTCCACATTTCCTGTATCAGCATTTTTGGTCTTCAGTGCAGCAATAGCAGCACGCGGCACTGACAAGCATCTTATGCTTGTAGGGGACCACAGATGAGCCCTATGGATAAACTGCATGGCGGGGATAGGAATGAGGTCCAGTCACAAGGGTCAATGGGTGTAAGTTGAAACATGGGAAGTTCCATCTCCATGAGAGGAAGAACTTCCTTCCTGTGAGGGTGCCAGAGCCCTGGAACAGGCTGCCCAGGGAGGTTGTGGAGTCTCCTTCTCTGGAGATCTTCCATATCCACCTGGATGCCACCCTGTGCCCCGTGCTCTGGGTGTCCCTGCTTGAGCAGGGGGGTTGGACTGGATGATCTCTAGAGGTCCCTTCCAACCTCAACCATTCTGGGATTCTGTGGGTCAGCACCTCCCTGCAGGCGGCAGGGTCTCAAAGGGATGAAAGTCAGTCCCTCCTTTGAAGGAGCTGCATTGCCACAGCAATGTTTCCAGCTTGTCTTACTGTGCTGCAATTCTTGCCATCATTCTTGCACAGTGTCACAGCAACACCAGGCCACGTGTTGCTCCACAATCCAACCCATGCAGCCACTGACTACCTCTTTCTCATCTTCTGAACACGGGTGAATAGCAGCTCTACTGTTTTCAAAACATCCTCATGAAGCACAGTATGGAAAGTTCATGCAAAAGGCCTGAAAGATTTCCAAACAAACAGCAGATGTGACCCCTTGAAATATAAGGTTAGTGGTGGAAACACCAACTTAGGCTTTACTGAAGCAGCACACTGTGAATGTCACAGCTTTTTAAGGAGAAAAACAATAGATTAACCTACCAGATGATAGTTTGGGCTTTCATGGCCCAACCTTTTATTCCCCTCCTTGTTTTTCACCTGTGTGTTTATCACTGTCCTGCTACAGTCAGCCATGAATCCCTTCCTTGCAGCACCAAATCTAACCCAACCAGACCCAGCTGCCTCCTGGTGACTCATTCAGAATTTATTCTGGCACTGCAGCTTCACTTGGCTCTCAGGAACCAAATGAGTTTGCCCTGCTTGGAGATCAAGGGACTTCTCAGCTAAAAGCACCGACCTCTTTCCTGGCCAGTACTGAATAGCTGGAAAGAAGTGGTCACTTCTGCATCGACTCTCACTTCACTTGGCTCCCACAGGTTCTGCAGTGAAGTGGTAAACACTCCTAATCCCACGTTTGGGGAATGTTTTTCCACAGATTCCGGTCACACTAATGAGCAACTTGGAGAATGAAGCAAGGTAAAGTTCTATAAACCCCTGAAGTTGGGGATCCAGCATCCGTCCAAAGGAAGAGGAATTCAGGCAGCTATGCGAATATTAAGCTCCTGCTCCAAAGGCACTGTGCCATAATTCCCAAAGAAGCTGCAGACAGTGATACTCAATACTAAGACCACACAATTTCTACCCCCCCAATCTTCCAGTAGGTCAATATTCCAAGCGCCTGCCTTTGGATATTCTAACAAAGCAGAGAAAACTAAGCTATAAGCAGTGAAATATATTAAGGATTTTAATTAGCAGCTGAGAACAATCCCAAATCATCTTATTAATGAAATATGTTAAAAAGTACCACCTACAGATCTACTTGCTGGCTCAAAGCAAGCAGATTTTGCCCAGTAGCACTATCACCTCAATAAATCCTTCATTGTAATTTTTATTTTTGGCAGATGGTTTCATATTCTGAGGCTGTTTTCCACATCCATGAGTCCCCTTCACTGTGTATTGTTATCAGGGTATTTAATTACTGCATATGAACAGAGTTGCTTTATGGCTACTGAATTATATGAGCCCAGTCCAAGAGTTAGATCTGTTAACAAGAATACACTCAGCACCCTCTCTCAAAAAATAGAAAAAATAAAAGTTTTGCTTTATAAAAGTTATAAAACTTTTGTTAATTTGCTTGTAATTTGGCCTTCCACAACTAAGTCATATACATAGAAATAATTTAATTTAAATGTGTCAGAGTAAATTTCAAGTAATTCATAATGAAGAGAACCAGCAGTACCACCTACATTTCAATAAACAAAAAGATATTATACATTTTTTCCAAGTATCCTTTTAAAAAAAATTAAATCAAAAGAAGAAATTAAATACTAAGTGATGAAAATCAATGACGAAAATCACTTACCCATTTCAGGAGAAAAATCTGCCTCCCCCTTCACTGGGTCCTGGCCATGTTTTGCAAAACGATTGCCAATTCTGTTCTCTTTCTGTTGCAGAGCAGGTTTACGAACTGGCCCCCGGGTAAAACGGGGGAAAAATTTTTTTGGGAAGGGCCTCTGTGGCTCTAGCCCCTTGACGGGCACATTCTTGAAGGCCTGGGTCTCTTCACTGAAGTTGAAGTAAACAAAGAGCAGAAGTGTCCAGGTCACGGATGTGAAGAGGCACCCATAGCAGAAGTAGCGGAGTGTGACACTTCCCATTGTAGACTTAGCATCGTTGAGGGCTCATTCTCAATTACCTGCCAGAGAAAACACACACCTGAGTGGAGCCTTTTGACTCATCACATTAGAGAACACATCTACTTTGCCATTAAATTATTTTCATAACAATTTTTAAACACAGACCTTAAGAACGAAATCTTTTTGCTTTCTCTTTCAAAAAAGAAATACGATTGCACACTGCCCAGACTGTGTAGATACTTTAAAAGATAAATCAAACAGCAATGAAAATCACAGTGCCACCCTTTTCACAATTAAATAAAGATGATTAATTCTTCCTCAGAGCAATTACAATTATCAGCTCTTCTTCCACAGTGCATTCCTCATACGCCAATATTCCTTTTAAATGTATCACTATTTTACCTAAGCATATTTCCAAGCAAGGAGTTATTCTTTTAAGTGCTGCATCCTGAAGTATGAAGAGATGATGACAGACTCAAACTCAACAGTTTAATCCTATTTAAGAGGAGCCATCATGTGGGTCCCCAAAATCCAGCATGGGGTGCAAATGAACCAACAGAGAATAAAGAGAGTGACATTTACACATAGCCCCTCAGAGTGAAAAGGAACAGATAGAGGATGGAAAAGGAGAGAAGTGTTGAGGTAATTGTTGAGGTTGAGGTAATTAGGTAATTTCCTGCAAATAGCTGCAGATTCCAAGGAGTTTTCATCCTTGCCATGAAGCAGATCCTCCCTGACCCAGAAGGGAGCAAGGCATGCCAGTTTTATTATGTGCCCCCATCCACTAACACCATTTCCCTGAGGTATCCTGGAAATCACTGCAGTAAGCAAATCCTGGAATGAAGCACAATGGTACCAGTGATAATGTTTTATTTACAGACTTGGAGAACGAAGTAAACATGGAATTTCTCATGTTTAAACTAGGCAAAAAAAACATAAACACAAAACCAAATAAAAAAAAACCACACCAGCAGCACCAAAAACCCCCGTACTGTTCAGCTGCCAAACCTGGGAAACAGCTCAAGAATTAGATCCCTAACCACTATCTAAACCACTACATATTCTTTTCCATAGCAAAAGAAGTCAGGAAACCATTTAATTACCTCTTAATTATCAATAAGTTTTTGCTAAGAAGATAGAAAATGTTAGCTGTGAATGCCAAAGTTTTACATTTTTCTGCTTCTCTGATTTCCTGAGGTGTCAGAAACTATCAGAAACCTTCAGATCAGCTCTGCAAGAAGATACACCTGCAAACACAGATGATTCCCCTCCCAGTAGGAAAGGCTGCTGAAGAGAGGTAGATGGTGTGCACGTTCCCAGAGAGGTCTATAAAAAAGTCGTGTATTTTGGCAGTGTAATTCTGAGTCCTAAACTATTTGTGTCCAAGAAGAGTAACTGTCCATATCCAAACTCACATTTCCCACACTGCATCAGGCTGTTATCTCCCTCCAAGAGAGAAAATTCCCTGGAATAAAGTGAAACAAAAAAAGTTACCTGCTCTTCTTACCCTGTCAACTCCCTTTGCAAAGCAGCAAACCACACAGCAGTTAAGCTCAAGAAGCTTAAACAGGTTTTCAACAGGGTTTAGCCCCCATGCTGATCCTGTGCACAGATGAATTGCCTGCTCTGTGAAATGGGCTCTTTCTCTAACACTGCAGCACAGAAACTTTGCTGTTTAACTACAATTTTAGGGCCATGAGATTAGTCAGGCGACAAATATTTTGATTCAAACCCCGCTTCCAGCTGGCAGAGGGGCTTACCAGCTTGGGAAATGCAGAACACCAAAAATTCCTGCTCCCTTTTTCCCTGTGTTAATAGTGGTTGGTGGCTGTGCTGCTGGGAACATACACGTAAAATAAGGAAGGCTGCAAAAGAGCAACATGAAAGAGTTTTATCTTCTCACTACAATAACTCTTCTTGGGAGACTGTTTGCACACAACCAATGGTTATCCATAAAACCAAATCTGAGGCTTGTACCAAACCTTGAAATCTCCAAGGAACACAGGGCAGAAAAGGTGAGCACAGACCACGCGCTTCTCCAGCTTCTTGGGTCTGTCTACAGCTCAGAGAGCTCCACATTGCTGCTGTGGCACCACTAGCCACACAGAAGCTGCAGATTGTTGTGACTGAGATACAGATGTAGTTGGATTAGAAAGAAAAGGATTAATTAATAATCATCACAGCGAGGAAACTGTCGTGCAACCCTTCTGTCTCAGAAGAGGTTCTGCTCAGGGTGACGTCACGGACTTGGAGACCTACCAGGTTACTGTAACAAAACCAGTAGGATACTACTTCCAAACACTCTTTGCTAGAGCAGAGTTGATACCTCTAATCCCATCCTTACCCATTTTTAGCTTTGTAAGAGGATATAAAAGTGCATTTAAAAGAAGTGACAGAGCATCCTCCAGGCAGAAGACCAGGCCTTTCAGTAGCTGCTTGCTCTCCAATCAAGACACTTGGTCATCCTTTTGGCAGGAAAATAAACTCCCTTTAAAGGCCCAAATGTTTTGTTAGAGATTTCTTTCTTATAAAAGCAGAGAAAAAGGGCATTGCCTTTAGAAAGCCACCTCAAGGCTCATCAGCTCACCTTAATTAGCAGCACATGAGTATTTACACAGTCACACCACAATGGATTTCAACCCTTCCCACCTGCCACCCGTTGTGAGCAGCTACAGAAGTCACAGTCTGCACAAGGGGACAAGGATCTGCTCCCTGCACATTGTGGTGGCCATGGGGCAGCCAGGGGATGGGTTTAAGCTCGCCATGGAACTGCAGGTTAGGCAGGGAGAAAAGCTGCTTCGAGCATAAACTTTTACACAAGGGCAAAAGTCAGCCCAGGCTGTTCAAGAACTACAACTAGAAACTGGAAGGTGACATTTTTCCGCAATGCAATTCTGGAAGAGCCTCCAAATAAAAATGATGGTAAGAAACGGCACAGCTGTCTCAGTTTAGAGAACATACAAGTCTTGGCTTTGTATTTAGCAGCCTTAAAGCCCAGGTAACGCAAGCAGAGAGAGCAGGTTTGGATAGTTAGGTCTAGAAAAGGTCAACTGAAAGAGCAAAACTGCCTTTTATAAATAACATCAACAGACTCGTATGAGTCATTTTTGTCCCAGACTCATAAGAGTCATTTTCAGCTATGTCATAAATACAACACTGAACCAAGTCACCACTAAATTGCTATTATGATTATATTTAATAAAATACAAGCAAAACCCACTAATTGTCACAGGAAAAATCTAGGCTTTAAACACACCAAGAATTGTTTTGTAACACAGTAGCTCTTACAGATTTCACTGGTAATTTGGACTCAAATCTATCCATTTCTCACCATCTCTGAACAGCAATGCAGCTACTAAAAATCAAGCTTCCATAGGACCTCAAACACAATTATGCCTCACTTCCAAAAATGCAGGTAACAAAAGAATATCCAGAATGAACAGAGTTATATTCCTTAAACAATATTTGACCTTTCACAGCAAATAATATATCAATTTGGATATGCTGAATAAGAAGTATTGAAGGATTCTGCAAGTGTTTAAGCTACACAACATCATAGCACGAAATTTATGGTTAGGGCAGACCTAGGAATCCAGTCAGAGAGAGTTCAACATGACAAAAAAAATCATTCAAGCTGGCAACATCTCCTGTAATAGAAGACTGCATTTTGGTGGCAAGTGGAATTTTGTAACATTAATCAATTGGGGAAGCTAATTACTCAGCATCATCTTGATTAGAAGAGTTTAAGAGAATGTGGCACTGTTTTCTGTGCATTTCTAAACAAATATTCTGGCTTTTGGCCTTGTTGCTCTGTAATGATTGCCACATATTTACCAGCTGATAGTTTTCCAACTTTGCCAAAGCCTTGGAACAGAGTCAGTGCAGCAGGATGCCAGAAATGCCAGGAGTAAAATATTCTTCCTGAAACTCCGTAAGTTCCAGTACAGAAACCCCCAGGTCTTTGCAGGAGCAGTAAATCATTGATTTTTTTTCCCCAACTGAAGTATAAAAATTATATATAAGTAATTTAGTAAAAGCCTCTAAAAGTCAATCAGTTGCAGAGAAAAAGCCTCCCATAGTTTTAATGAAAAAAAAAGAAAAAAGAAAAGAAAAAGAAAAAAAAGTCAACCACATTTCATAATATTTTGGCTTAAAGAGCAAAAGCAGCTATGGAATCTTTAACCAGCCACTGCTTCAATGTCAACATCTGTTGAGGTTCAAACCCACCGTGAGACTGGGTGTTTCATCACGGTGCCAAAAGTCCTGTTTGTCAGAGGTCAAAGAGAGGAGCAGCTCAACCTCAAAGGTTTTGGAGGCAGAAATCAGAGTTATTTGAATAACCAACCTTAAAGTCTGCTTTAAGTTTTTCCAAGCTGTTCCAAGAACAGCTTTCCTAAAAAATAAATAAAAAATAAGATACAACTCATACATTCCTGCAACTCATAGATTCCTGCAAGACTGACTGTGTATTTTGGACCTATATTAAGGGAAGGAACAGATGTATATAATCTTCATTTCTATAGAGACCTTATTAGAGTTTGCTAAACTAGTATTTGCTATGTCTGCCAGACATCCCTTACATTACAGGTCGTGTTCAGGAAGCCTCTCAGTTAACGGTGCCCAAAGATGGTGACCAACAAACAACTCAGGCAGCTTCCAGTTGTCCTGGAGGTCCTCAGGTCCCATCCTTCCTGAAGGATTCTGAGTCTCGTTTTAAAGACCTGGTCCCTGTTTTACGGGTGCAAAGACAGAGATGCAGCTGAAAGGTGGCCCTACAGAGCTCAATAGTTCCCAAGTTGAAAGAGGCTAAATTAACGTCAGACAGTTACAGGAACCCATGTCATGCTGCTTCAAGTAAGTTCTACTGGAATTAATACAACTTTAAAATATTCCTGTAAGGTGTATTGCAAAGAGCACATATACTTACTGCACCTTTTTCTGTGAAGGACAGTAGGACATGAATTGCATGAACTGTCAAAGGCAAAAACTGTCATTTACACAGGAAAGAAACTGCGGTGATGAATAGGAGCTATCACCTTTCATGAACAAAAAACAGACC